CATAACAAACAGAGACACGCATATACATGCTCCAAAATATGCTTTCAGCCAAATAAAATATTAAACAATTACAATGATCCAAATATTATTATAAAATTAACCATTTTTTCACACGCTTTCTTTCCATCCATGAATCCTTTTGGGATAATGTTAGGAATAAGTAGTTCATACCTCTGCCTAAATTCTTGAAAGAATATCCTGCTAGGGAAGCCCTGCCTGCAGATACGAATACCTTCCAGCACTCCATTGCACCGCAGTTGATCCAAAATCAGGTGAGAGTCTATTTTGAATGCCTACATAAAGCATGGTGTTGTTTAACAAACGTCAAGTTTAAAATATTTAAGGAAAAAAATTATTCTAAGAGAAAAACTGAACATTATGTAACTAAATAATTAGTTAAATAAAAAAAAATATTAAAAAATTGTAAATAAAAGAGAAATTGATTAAAACCTTTTTTTCATGATTCGGAATAATGCAACGAACAAAATTAGGATTGGTATTGTTTAACGTTTGCATCAGTTTGGTCAGTTGTTCCTTATATGTCTGGCCAACTGTTCGAAACATACCTTTGCGAGTCCGACCTCCAAATGCTGAACTTTCAGCTACAACTGTCGCTCCTATGCCAACTATCTCAGCTAAAATTATTAATTTTATAAAATATTTTATAAAATTATTATCATAAAAAATATTATAAAACATTACAAACATTTTTAAACGCGTTTATCATGAAACAATTGTAAAAACAGTAAACAAAGCTTTACAGAAAAATGCGAGTGTTAAAATTGTATTAAATAAGACCCAACCATCCTTCCAAATGTTTTTGACGAAATCGTTGGCAGCCTCCTGCAATAGAGTGACGACATTCTCATTGAGTGGATCCATGTTCTTCAGCAGCCACTGATCAGCTGAGTAGTCAACCTTGCCCGCATAATGCATCAGGCTAAAATTCGCCTAAACAATTTGACAAATTTTTTGGTAACAAATTGAATTTAATCATTTTATTGAAATTTACTATTAAGACTTTATGCTGAATAACCGATTGTTTGTCTGAGGGAAAACGAGAAAATAAAAAAAAGTGTAGATGAGGGATAGATAGATAGAGAACACCACAAAAGTATTCAATTGCAATTGAAACTATTATTGAAATTTAATTTAAATAAAAATAATACTTTTTCTCTGAAATCAGGTCTTTGGAACTTGGCTTTGCCTGAATGTTTTGCAATAAGTTTTTCAACCAGTGTGCGATCTGTAGCTTTTGGAAACCAGCACTCTTCATCAACCAATGATAATATGCCCCCTGGCTGTTCATTAGATTAATATCAATATTTATGAACATGGAACATAAGCATCAATCAACAAACATTCTAAACATAGGAATTGACATAGAATAGTTGACAAAAAGATTGCTATTATTGTCGTTAGTATTTAATATGAAACTAGTTGCCAGTATTTAATATGAAACTAGTTGCCAGTATTTAATATGAAACTAGTTGCCAGTATTTAATATGAAACTAGGGGAGTGATGAGCAATTGATTGATCAGTCAACCTTCTCGATGAGGTCGATAGTTGGTTGGAGATCGAGACCAAAGTCAATAAAATCCCAGTTGATATTCTCTTTGTTGTACTCGTCTTGTTCCAGTATGAACATGGTGTGATTGAAGAGCTGTTGCAACTTCTCATTCGTGTAGTTGATGCAGAGTTGCTCAAAGGAGTTCATCTGAATATCATCAGTCAATTTTTCATTCAACTTTTGCTATTTCTAACCTTTTAAAATTAATAACAAATGATAAAAGTATAAAATACAATGAAACCTGAAAAATTTCAAATCCGGCAATATCCAAAATGCCAATGAAAGAGGATCCTTGTCTTTTGGTTCTATCCAGAGATTTGTTGACCCTATGCACTATCCACTTGAACATCCTCTCGTAAGTTGTCTTGCAGATGGCCTCAACAGCATATTCAACCTTCAAATTATAACGTTGTGAAAGTTATTATCGTCACCAATATCTTTGTAAGTTACAATCAAAATAAAAAATGGTATTACCCTATATTTTATATTATTAAATACAAATAAAAAAACTATAAAAATAATAATAATGATAATAAACTAATAAATAAGTATAGATAAAAATTAAACATAAACAAATCAGAACCCAAAATTCTCCTAAGCACATAAAGGAGATAGATCAACCTGTTCTTTGGTCTGAGCTTTTGTGACATGCTCCCTACCAACTCTTATTTTTGGCTTCAGAAAGGCTTTGGTCAGATCAGTGACTGAGGTGCCCAGCAGGTGGCAGGCTTTCTGTGCAACTTAATTAAAACGGGGATTGTCATTATTTTCATTAAAAAGTTTTTGCTATTAATTTCTCTTCTTTTCCGGAAAACTTTTAAGAAGAAAAGGTAATAAATGCCATTTCAAATTAACCCCAAAAGTTCTAAATAGGAAAACCAAGATCAATTATGATTGAAAGGAAACAAAATTAAATATTAAAAATCAGTAAATATTTGATATAATATAATTTTAATAAAGGATAATTAAATTTAAAATTTTTAAACATGGAAACTACAATAAGGAATAAAAACAAATTATCAAGAAACACCAAACTCATAAACACATATGTGCAGCCCACACATCCAAAAAACCAAAATTGTATTAAATAAAGTTGTATGAGAAGGAAATGTAGCTTGGTACTTGTGTTGTCCGGTAGGGTCGCCTGGTCGGAATTTTTTTCCTGATAGAACTTCATGTTGCCCAGGTGCAAAATTGCTGATATAGTCTTATGCATGTCTGTAACCGTGGTGAACAAATGAAATTCAACTAATAAATGAATAAACACATGTATGAACAAACGAAAATACAAATGAATGAACAAATGAGTAGACAGACATAGTTGTTCATCCTTGGTGAACCCGATGACTTCCATAGCGGCCAGCAACTGCCTGTAGAGCTCTGCATCCCCCTCACCAGATACGCTTACATAACCATTGGTCAGAAACTTGTACGACTTAATGTCCTCCATTATGCAGTCTCCTGTCAACATCGCAATTATTGAAAAAATTCTGTAAAAATTATTTATTAATATATTTATTATATAGTTAATTGATTAGGTTGTGTTGATTGTAATAATTGATACTTCACAAAGCAATTTATTCAAATAAAAAAAATGTAAAAAGATACTTTTAACGTTAAGATCAGCAGCAACGAGCATCTGATAAAAGATGTGGAAACATCTCTCCCCAACAGCCTGCCTCACCGTTCGCGACTTCTCCAGTAAGTCTGTATGCACATAAATGTTTTGTACCTTCATTTTTAAAACTTTATCATCAAACTTTAAAAAATCTTAACCAAACCCAAAGAACAATGTAGACTCTTATATTTTTTTTACAAACATTACAGTGGTTCTCAACCAAACAACTTTTTTTTAACGAAGAGGAAGCAAAATTTAACAATTCACCAGCAATATTTATTAGAGGAATAAAAGTTCTAAACACAACAATTCACCGCTAACATTTAATGAATGAACAAAAATACCGCACATGTGTATGCTATGAATTCATTCTTAATACCAATGAAAACCAATCAATGTTAATTAGCAACAAGATGATTTAATAACCACACAAACAGAAAGAAATTGATTTAAAAGATCCCACTAACAAGTTTCTATGTTGGCTCCTGCAATGAAACCAGATGAATCAAAATTTATTCTTATAAACTTGCCCTGGAAAATATTCACTTGACTTATTTTTATGCTTACACACACAAACAAACACACACAAAGAAAGACGCACACACAGACACATAAACACTTGAACAAAATAATTGTATAGTTCAATATAAATATTATCAACATTAACTTAACAATAATGATTATTCATAAATAAACTACAACCAAAACAATTCAACAATGGATGACGACACCTACTGGTTTGTGATGCGAGTTAATACAATTTGTAAATGTAAAAGATGTGTGTCCAGCATGGTTAAAATGAGGCCTGTGCACAATTCACAAACAACCCATCATATGTATGGTGTATGGTTTCACTTGGGCGTACAGTACCCGTTTGTAAATTGTGAGGCAACTTCATAACACAATTAATTATTTCAAAGCCAGGTAAGTAGGGAAGGATTGCAAGCAGGTCTGCACTCGCCACATAGCAAGGAAGTCTCACTTGTACAAAGCTTGTATACAACGCAGACAATTAAACTAAGTTATTGCATCACTCATTCTATCAAACATCATCATGTTGAATATTTTCGGTCTAACGCTTAGTTTATTTTTTACCATTGTATTTTTATCATGGTCGTTGTTGTTGATGGTTTGATTTTTTAAAGTTTTTCAATTTTTTCTAACTATACAAATATTTTGTCATGCAACATATAATATTGAATGCTCATTCAACTTTTACACCATTCTGTTCAATTGCATGTCTGACCATTTTATATATTTTACAAGATCAGATTATTGATTGAAACATTCTTTAAAAAAGATTTTAAAAATTTAATCAGGTAAAATGTAAATATCTCAAAAAAATTTAATTTTTTCCACACAACGGTCACTGGATTTGAATCTTTTTAAAACAGAAGAAAAGGTTTTATTAATCAACCTGAATCTAATGTATTAAAAATAAACTAATGTTGAATCTTAAGGACGTGGCTGCCAAGTTACATTTAAATATTTATTTATACCCTTTCATTGTTATTGAAACATGGAATATGTTTAATTATCTCAATATTAACAGTCTTTAGTTTATTTTTTCGAATATTTTCAATAAAGTTCAAAATTGGAACATCCAAAGAACTTTTATGTACTAGGACAAAAATTTGTCAAACAATCCAATGAATAAATTTGCTATGCACCGTGGAACAAATGATCGATCATACAGATAAGTTTAATTAGCATTGTTAATGAAAAAAATATGTCATGCCTTACCTTAATTGATTAATAGAGTAAAGGTTTTTTTAGATTTTAGAGAAATAAAAATTCTAACTATGCAGAATAATGAAAAATATTTAATATAATCCTGAAATGATGTAGAGAAGTTTTAGAAAAACAAAATAAAACATTCAACACAAAAAATTCATTATTAATTATCGTTTGTGAAAAAGAGTTAACAAACTAAAACATCTCAATGAAAGTTCTTGTCTTAAGAAAAATCACAACAAATTTATAACATCAAACAGCAGAGAGAGCTAAATGAAGGAGTTGAGAAATGAAACTCACAAATCTGGAGGAGTTGTCATTCTTGACAGTTTTCGCATTCCCAAAAGCCTCCAAAATAGGATTGGCTTTGAGTAACTGCAGTTCTAGTTCAGCCTATTTGAAAAATGACATATCAATCACTGAACTTATATGTAGGATTGTTTAAAATAAATTTATCTCATAAAAAAGTAGAAAATAATTGTTTCATTGAAATGTTAGTAAACAACAAACTTGATCTTCAAATGATTGTGATGTCTTTTGGTGCTTAGTTGAGGCAGCAATGGCAGCCAAATATTGAATAACCTTTTTTGTGTTTTCTGTTTTACCAGCACCTGACTCACCACTTGAAGAAATCAAAATGGTTTAATAAATGAAAATCAAAAAACTTCACAATCAATTAAACAACACCGACCAAATACAACACCAATGAATATTAAAATAAAAAAACAATGCAAAAAAACAAAAGAAAGTTAATATCTTGTTAGTAGAATTCTATATCAGTATATTTATTCATTCAGTTAAATGAAAAATTTTAAAGTTGAAAAAATTAATATTTCAGTTTTATATAAACTCACGTGCACAATATTGACTGATCTTCCCTATCTATAAAAAAATAATTTAATTATTTTCATTATAAATAAGATAAGATTGAACATAACTCAGCAGAAAAAGACTACAAACCCATGAGCATATTTCTGTAAGCACTATCAGTAATAGCATATACATGCGGAGGCATTTCATGGCGTTTCTTACCCTTGTATAACTCTATAATTTTGTCAGTGTATATTGGAAGCTTCTTGTATGGATTTATAACCACACAAAATAACCCTGAATAAGTCTTCAAAAAAATTATTAATGGCATATTATTTACAGCCAAACAATTAAATAAGCAAAATTTAATTTTCATGCATTTATAAATAATTTCTAATTCAAATGTTAGAAATTGTTAAAAAAATGTATCAACAATAAACATAATTACATAAAAAAACAATTACTTAATTAAGAATCCTTTAAAAATAACAAATGTTTTAAATAATTTAATAACAAAAGATAAGCACACAAGGTAATAAATTTAAAAAATTACACTAACCTTGTTTTAAATTTAAACCACTTAACTATTGATATTCTTCATTTGAAGACAACAATTGACTTAAATAAAACTTAAGCAAAAAAACATTGATAGTTTAAAACTTTCAATTAAAATTTAAAAAATTAAATAAGCAAGTAAAAGTAAACAAAATCCAACATAAATAAGTCCAGAATAATATCTTTCTTTCAAGTTGTGTAGAACAGATGCTTCATTCAGGCAGGTCAGTTCGGCCATGTCTTCAATTCTGTTGTACTTTGGTGGATTCATTTTTTGAACATCATCTCTGTGGAAGGACAACGTCTTCCCACAATCAACCAACTGCACAACAACTTCGTCCTCTGAATCTTGTTTAATGCAGGCAGCCACGAATCCTTGTTCTTCGTGTGGCACCCAGATCATCCTCTTGGCGGCCCAGGCGGCTTGAGAGGCGGGATCGTTGAGTACGGCATTGCCTGCCGGAGCATCCACTGACAGATACTGCAAGTCGCCGTTTACATTTTTCTTGTCGGTCATTGCGTCTATACTCTCTGTCTTCTGTTGTTTTGACTTTTGTTGTGTGTTGGTTACTCAGTTCACAATACCAATTCTATTATTAAGCAACAAAATAAATATTATAAAATAAATTGTTCCGTGTCGAAAGATATTAAAAAATGGACAATTTTAGTTTTTGTATATGAAAATAATTAATTTGATAAAATTACAAAATAACATGTAGTTAGTCAATAATTAATAGTCAATGATTAATGAGAATGTTATAGCGAACATGTACAAATATATGCAAGCCCGTTCTGCTGCACAATCATAGAAAAAGCTTGTACAACATAAACCATAGAATAAAAATACATTTATTCAGTATCGTGTTTTCATCGTGGATATATAGTATGGTATTCATTCAGGGAAAAGTTATTGTTATCCTATGTAGATAGTTAGATAGTTATTTAATGAATTATTAATCATCTTTAATCCTGTTAAACTCTTATCTTTCTTCTAGATTTTTAAAACCCTTTCCATTTTTGGACATTTTTATTGAGATCGATTTTCCCACCCCGTTCCACTCTGTAGTTTCATATATATATATATATATATATATATATATATATATATATATATATATATATGTATATATATATATATAATATATATATATATATATATATATACAGAGTATACATATATTCTACACACACACATGTAGCGTAGTGTCATCCCTCAACTTCTTGATCTTCCAACATTTTCAGTTTTTCTTCATAATTAGCATAATTAAATTTTGCAAATATGCTCAGATCCCAAAGTTCACATTTTCGTACTTTGACCTATTTGTATAAACTTATTTCAAACCGGTTTCTCATCATTTCGTACCTCGAACTCAGGTTGATTCCCAATTATTTCTTTGTAACACTTCATTTCAAGTGCTTCCAAGCTGTTTTTCTCCAATATTTGGCTCAAAAATTGATAGGTATAGAGTTTTTGAAGCTGAACTAACCTTGGATTATGATAATGGAGACAAGACATGCGCGTTAACATTGGGCATCGGTGGTTTGATGTTTGTTCTGCTACTGACCCGGTGGAAAATTTTTGTAAAAATCAAATTAAGATTTTAATTTGATATTATTTACGATAAGGTCAGTTATTTAAGGGCTGAAGTTTATATTTGAAGTTTTAATTTCATGTTCATACATAAAATCATTTTAATTGCAATCCGTTTAAACGTCAATTTTTAATGAATTAAGTTTTTTAAAATGTTTAAATTGTAATTTTTGATTTAATGAATTTCTAGTCAGCGTTTCAGTCAATGTATCAATTAATTAGTTTCCCAATGTAGTTAAAACTTACGATTAAAGGCCAGTGAAGAAACATTGGTTTCACCTGCCCTTAGCCTAAAAAAACATTTGTTTATTATCTAACAGATTGAAAAGATTTAGGAAACTATAACTGCAATAGCCCATCATGTTCATTTTTTTCGTTTCTTTGAAGCAACAATGGCTTTGACTTCGCACATTCGTTATATTTTAAAAAGGGATTCGTCAAGTGGCAGATAAGAATTGATTTGGCTGATTACATGACAACAATAACAAGGTTGTCATCCGTTGCAGCAGTTGTCCCAAGATAACAATCCTTAACACTTGAAATTTCTTTTTATAACAAACACTTCAAAAGACAAAAACACTGGTACAACAAACGCTTTAAGTGATTAAAGCAGTCAATGATGATCAGTTACCTTTGTCACATATTACAATATTCTATCTTAATTATAATCGTTACATCATAAAATTGAAAAATCTTCGTTCAAGCAATCGTAAAAGTGCTAATTTATTATAATGCTATTCTACGACTACAACCATAGATTAGAAACAGGTCTCCATATCTATGGTCACAACACAACGTGCAAATATGAAATAAAAAATTGAAAATCGGATAATAGGTTGAATTGTAACAAATAAAAAATAACAATAAAAACTATTTATAAACGCAATAAATGGTTAACAAAATCATTTTTGGACATCCTGACAAAACCATACGTATATCCGCTTGCGATATACTGACTAGTGATGGATTCATATGTTTTGTTAATGTTAATAAAGACCATCATCTGTAGCATTTTGGATCGGTTAGTGAAGAATTAATTAGGAACTGTCTAACGGGTTGAAAATTTGCATGAAAGTAGTAAGAAAGTTGTGTAATTTAACCAGAAGCAAAATAAAAAAAAGCTGTAAAAACGAATTCTAAACAAAACATTTAACATAAAAATCTTTCAACTCAATGAGATGAACATAATTCAACTAGTTAATTAAGCGAACATGAATGACTTCTAAGTTAAAGGCACACAAAAATTACAATGTTAATAATATATCAACGTTATTTGGTATTGCATCTTTAGAGAGGTCATTCAAAGTGAAAAAAAAACACAAAATATTGTCAAATGGAGTGCATTATTGCTAAAAATGTAATCGTGCTCAAAAATATCACAGTGGAAAAACGGCTAAAATTATTAAGAAATTTGAAGTTTGACATGATTTTGTTTCCCTTTGTAGACATCATCATTTGTGTTTTGTAGGTACTTTGGCCTGAGATTTATTTGCATCAGATATTAGTTTTTCTAACTTGAAGACGTCCTGTAAATTCATTTACACGTACAATCATTTACCTGGAATATTTTTTATTTTTGACATAACATTGGAGAGGGCATGGAGACTTTTCCTCTGAGATCACTTACTCGATCGTTGTGTTATGTAAAGTTTGTTCACTTTAGCTAACAAATAACAGCTATTGATATATAGGTATTAATAATGCTCTGCAAAACCTTATGTATTGTATATATTATAAAAAAATATTATGTAACTGCTATTGTCTTCTACATATATTTTTTTGTTTAATGAAAAAGGTATTGCATCCGTGGACTCAAAAATTCAAATGCAAAATTAAAAAAAAAATTATTTCAATTCTTTTTATTAATCAAATGGAAATTTAAAAAAATTCCTTTTTTTGACTGAAAGAAAAGCACAATTTTCACGAACGTACAATTGCTTCCATTCAATTTCCGGTCGCACATTATTTACATATTCAAACGGTAAAACCAGCAGAACTAACTTTTCTATACGCGTCTTTGATAGACTTCGGAGTGTCGGGAATCAAAATGGCAATCATATATTTCAAGGCATACACCACGTTCTACGAATGTACATTTCAAAGAAAAAATGTCAGTAGAATTTAAATTTGAAAAATATATACTTTTATCATATTCATCCTGTTTAAACAGCATATGTTTTTTTTATATTATTGCTTACTATATCATCTGAAATAAATTTGAAAGAAAAAATGTATAAATTGTTAACAAACAGCATGAATAATTAGTTTGTAACGAATTAACGAAAAATTATTCACACACCTCAAAGATTAACACAATGATCAATTTTGTATCCAATGAGTACTTGTTGGCCCAGGCTGACGTGAAAGCGATGAGGAATGCATTCACTGCGACTCCGACGATGTTTATGAAATTCAAAATATCGAACCATCGACCTACAAAATGTGTTGGAAAAAATTAAATGGTAAACAACGTGAGAAGCTCAAATACTTTAAGTTGCAATCGTTTCCAGTTGAAAAGAGCTGAATTATTGATAATATGATTGTTAACTACAAAAAATGAGAAGACAAACAAGACAAGATAGACAAATATTTATAAAAAAAAGAAAATTTTCAGATTGTAAATTCAACGTGGAGCAAACAAAACAGTTGTGATGCAATTACAGAATAATCAACTTCTATATGTACGAAACGACTAGCCTATTACAACACATTAAGTTCATTTCCTAACATCTATAATCTGTCAGATATTTTAATTCAACATCAGCGTCCGCCTACGATCGTCTTTTCGTTCTTACTTTTCTTTTCTGATAAGCTTACTTTTTGGTCAGTCTCACTGAAACTTTCTTCCTCATCCAACTACTTCATCACTTACAAAGTTTAGAGCAGATCTCAAGACTCATCTGTTTACAAAATTCATTGAACTGCAAGTTGAACATTATGGAATCGGCGTTTCAGAAATATATTAATTTATTTTTCTAAAGAAAATGTACATGCCAACAATTATGATCTTAGCTAAACTAACAAATTAAGTATACAAAATAGTTCTGTAAATATACAAAAACAATTAATTTAATTTATTCTATTTTAGCTTAACGTTGTCTTTTTTCACTCTTACTCGTTTTCAACTCCCAACAGTTTACGCTAAGAAGTTTTATTATTTTTATTTTCAGCTATCTGATGTTGCTAGGAACAATTTTTGTGTGAATTTCAACACGGATTTCTGGAAACAAATGAAAAGCATGAGCGCTAATCAATGATGTCTTTTGGTTTGGCTTGCAAAGATGGCACAAACAACTAACTACCAGCCGAGCCTATCTACGAAGCAAATATGTGAGGAGGATCAACCTACCGATATCTTGCGATATGAATGCAACGGGTCTTCTATTGGTTTTTATCAACCTTTTGCCGTCAAGTCGAGTGTCGATAATGAGGAAGAAGACAGTGATGAGCGGAGCAAGAGGAAACGAGGCCGCAAACAACTGCGTAAACAACAAATTTTAAAATGTTATGTTTCAATTTAAAAATTATTCTGCCAAATAATCAATTATTTGTTAATAAAATTAAGTAGGTGATAATGTAAAATTATATTTTACATGAACTGATGATTAACTTTAATTAATTTCAAAGTTTTAAACGAAATCATAAAAATTCCATCAACAAAATTATTTTTATACAATTTATGAACGTGTAAGCAAATTCCTAATTAAATTTTATGTTTCTCATCAACTAGATGATGAAAAATTTAATGAAGAAAAATTAAAAAACTTTGAACCATGAGGTAACCATAGAGCAAAACTTTCTCAGTGTATTCAGAGGTGGTGAAGTCACCAATAGGAACTTTATGGTACTCCCTCTCAATGTGAGCATGGTTGTTTGATGATTCAGAGCGCTTGCTAACTCGATTCGAACATTTCGCAAAGTGCTTCTTTAAAAAACTATTTATAATGTACAAAAGTTGTGACACATATATTCAGAAAAAAAACGTTAGCTATACGGGTAACATTTTGGATAACTAAACTAACAGTTAAAGCCAAAAACGCCTCAAATAATAATAAGAAAAGACCATAAATAGACATTAAAACTGACGGTAGCAGGAGATCGGTGAAGAACTTCGGAAGTGGTTTCATGAGCATGAGTGTAAGAATTTGGAATGATAACATGGGCATGCATGAAACATCACTAGACTCACCACAGTTGTCGTTGTACTTGCTACCCAATCCAAACAAACCATCTTTCAACTTTAGCTAAATATTATATATATATATATAATATTTAGATATTAGATATATATATATATATATATATATATATATATTACATCGTATCAGCTATTATATCTTAACCAAAATATATAATGCAACCAGATTTAGCTAATTTCCCGTAACTTTACAAGTGGTAACACTTAATTAAAAGAATTTAACTTGTATGCCAATCCACGGCATATCTACCTAACACGCAAAGGCATAATTGGTGAGTAACTAACCCCTCTGAAGAAGGCAATGTAGAAACACGACGTGTACGAATTCGCGAATTCAAAAGCGAACAGTTTTAAAATGATAGCGTCGTCGTAATCCGTCTGAGTTCTTCGATTTTCTACGGTGAAATATCAATTATTATTATTGCCTGAACATTGTATATTGTTCGTGTGCTACCTTACTCATCATCATCGTCATAATCATCATCCTTTTCTTTGTTTCATTTTTGGCTAACACACAAAAACAAAAACAGCGTTTAATAACAAACTAGTATCATATTATCTCTTTATTATTTATTCTTGCATGTCAATCAGAAATCTAAAAACGGTTTGATAAGATTTAAATTAAAAAATGTTTTAGTTTTGAAAAACAAAACAAAATATCTGCTTCATATGAAAAAATAGATTTAGGAAATCTACATTCTGCCTGGATGCATTGAAGGAAAACAGCATTCATGAAGAACATTTGTGATAATTTATTTTCATTTAGTAAGCATTTAAATATAAATTTAAAGAGTAACTAACCCCAATCAGTTAAGCGGGTGGCCACCCATTTGTACACCTTGAATAAAGTTATTTTTAACAGATTTAACTTCGTCTGCACGTGCCGCTAACTTTTGTAATTGTTGAAGTAGTCGGAAAGTTAAATGATCAAAAAGTAAGAGAAGCCATGTTTAAGGCTGCTGTCGTAGCGAACATATTCGCTGCTCGGTCGAGAAACAACAACTTAGAGAGGCGCACGTAGGTGCATGATGCGCCATAAAACACTACAAAAAAGCCAACCCTTTTAATTAAACATTTGCAGAATAAAAACTTTTCGATTCATTGGAAAATTTGATGTATTGTAAATTATCAACACACGTTATAATTTAGCGCATGCACAATGAAAGTAGTAGTAAGTACCTTGTTGAGAACCATGATGCCGATGGTGTTTAGGATGGTAGCCACAATGACAGACACCAAGAGACAACTCGTAGAGGGAACATTCGGGCAAAAGTCAATTGTCATGACGACACGGTACAAGATGAGTGCCGCCGTTATAATGAATACTACGCAGACCTGTGCGTTGTTAATCGAAATTTTAAAGAGAAGCCGAACTATTAGAAAAAAAAACAATTTATTTTATTTTATTTTTGTTTCAAGATTTTTTTCATTTCACAAAAATTCGTCTGTGGTCTGCTACAGTACTGTTCAAATTAAACAATTTCAATCCATCAATAAATCTTATTCTTCTTTCTCGTGCCTTATCCTTTCAAGACATTGGCGACCATCGACCTCCACAAAATCAGATCTTCAACACTTTGTAAGAGTTGAAATGTGGTGATATTCAGCAAAAGACACAAGGATTTCACAAAATTATTCGTCGTTGACCGCGATCAATAGATCATTTCTCTTAAAATTTGTAGTATAGTACTAATTTTAAAAAAATCTGTTTAGTAATAAAAACTCATAAAATGGCTCAAATTCCACCACCACCAACAACAGCAAAAACAACAACAACAACAAAACACACATGAGCACCAACTGAAACGCACCATGAAGAGTATGGTAGCCATGGAGACAGAGTATGTGATGAGGAGTGAGCGCTCCTGCAAACATGATGAATGAACAAATTAATTTTTTTACATAATACATTCAACATCATATATTTGTTGCAGTCAAAGAAAAATGACACACAAACATACGACAGACAACAGCAATAGATAAAGTTTTGTAGGAAAATTTACTAAAGTTAAACTTTATAAATTCAGTAATTCGATTCAATAAAAGGTGATACAATCATTACAGCGGATTAGAAATTGTTGGATAGAGAGGGCAGAGGTAAGCAACCTTGCCACCACTTAGGACATGCTGTGGACGATCTGGTTCATGGTCTTCGAATGAATACACGTCCCAAATGTAGGCTAACGTTGCATTTCGACGCTTCCACAGTTCAAGGAAAAATGTACCTGCATGTTTCAATAGAGAATATTCATAATTTACATACCAGACCAGGAACCCAAACAAAGAATTTTTGAATAATGTGTGGCAAAAATTTTATTTTGATATTTGCAACGCGATTTTGAAGAAATTGAGATAGCAACAAAGGGAGTCAATCGCATTACATACATTCAATATTTCATATAAAAATGATCATTAAATGAATTTTTTTAAATTAATCAATCAATCAATCAATCTTCGTTTAGAGTCCAGAAACCCGGTTCCCCGAGGTAGGACGTTGTTTTCTTTGCCATCAATTTTTTTGCGCCAAATTAGTCGATCATTTGTATCCATTTCATTTAAATTTTTAAAAATTAAGTTGGATAAATTTTATCTCAACTATACCCAAAACCTAAAACTTCAAAAAGCATGATAGAACATGCAGTTTATTATCTACGCAGATGTCTGTGTGGACAGTGCAAGCAGACGGCAAACATTCACCAACTTACAGATCATTTACACAATTGCTGATTGACCGTTAAAATAGCTTCTCTTAAAGTTAAACCATTCGCGAGAAGTTAATCAATGCAAATCTATTAAAATTAGAGCAACACGATCACACTTTAGTATATATTATCGTTTCGTATGCATTTATATATAAAAATACAAGTGTGTGTGAGTGTGTGTGCGAATGTGTATAAATCTCTCACTACTAAAGATTTTTTGCTATTCTACCCTTTAGTGAACGTAAAAGAGATCCCAGAACAAATGTCGTGAATTGTTAACTACAAGATTGAGAAACAACGAACAAATCAGAGGTCTTCCGAAGTAAAATATATTCTCGAACTCTTCATCCGAAAATGATAATAAACACATTGCTTCATCATGATGCTTTTTCCACAGTTCTATTATATGGCATGGCGTTCAGGCTTTAAAGTTAAAATAATTAAAAATCCAACAACGTATAAGAAAAAGAGGCCAACCCCAGAGAGAGATGACGACCGCGTAAAGTGGCATGAGGTCATTATCGAATGATTCGTCAACTAGACCTATGGCGGCAGCAGCTGCTGTCCTGTTGCGTTACAGTTCATTGAGTAATCTTCCTCTGCATATACATGCATGGTCCATTCAAGTATAAACATAAACTTGAAACTTTTTTACGTCACCAGCATTGTATTATTTATAAATAATAGTATTAAAAATTATTTATAGCAAAACAACTGGTGATGGATAAGTCTGTAACGTGCGATATAACTTTTCGTGACGATGTATCGTTTAATAACCGCTTCACAAATTTTGAAATTTTTCGTAGTTAAAAATATTGCCTTGCAAACTAATAATTTTCAATGAATAATGAATGTAAAATGAGATGAAACGGACACCTGTTCTTGGCCTGCCACTCCTCTGAATGGAATTTTGAGTAACTAAAATTAATTATTTTCATTTTAAGTTCATTTATTTCGCCAAATCGAGTTAAACAAATTTAAACAAAAATAAACGAGTGAAATGACATAGAAGCCAAAACTACTTGATTTTAATAAAACAAAACGAACAAAAATATCAATGATTAAAGAAGAATTTTCAATAACTGTAATACATTTTTTAAATATAAAAATTGAAAAAAATAATGAAAAATTAGACTTTTTCACTAATCCATAGATGAAAACTATGATGCCGATAACCATGGGGACCAGCAGAGAAGCAATTAGAACGTCGCACCACGCAAAGTACAGTGCAATCCTCTCTCCAAAATAATTCCTTATACCATTCACTGGCTGAAACCTACATCACATCACATTACATTACATCACATTATACAACATTTCATTACAATATGTAAAATCACATCACGTCACATTACACAACATTTCATCACATAGCACAACATTACAAACATACGTTTCAACACTTATTGTTGTAAGTTAAACAAAAATACTTGTGTATCTTCATCCACCGATCATACAGCTCCAGTTTAGCTGATGTCCATTCTCCTTTGGAAGATGATCGAGCGTAAGGGTTAGAAGAAGAAGAAGAAGAAGAAGGTGATATCATTTCATGCATGTCATCTACTTGTGGATTGATTGCATTGTTGCTGTTGTTGGCGTCAGTGTCACGATCATCAGACGTAGTGCCATTGAAATATGTGTACTCGTGCAGTGGGAATGCATCTTCTATGTAATTCTTCAGAAGCATGTGATTCAAACCTTTTGAAACGTTTTATCAATATAGAATCTGCGTTTCAACAAAAAATTTTTGAAAAAAGTTGAAAGCCAGTCAAAAATTTATTGAAACAATTGCAGAACTACTGATCTCACAACAAAAAAAAACAAAAAAGATGTTTGCAGACTTTAAATAAGAAAATTTCAACATGCTCCGGAAACCTTTTGTGGATCTCCACATTTTTTCAGCATCTTCATCATCGCCACTTCTTATCTCATACCCACTAGCATTGATATTTGCATTACCATTTACATTGTAATTGTTATCATTGTACTCTTCATTGTTACCAACATCGTTATCATTATTATTGCTATCATTGGCATCTCTACCTGTACTAAGATTGTTAGCATGATTATAATAGCCCATACCAGAGGTCATGTTGGCATTGTTATTATGATGACCAACATAGGAAAGATAACTCTTACTGTCATCATCGTCGTCATCTTCAAACAAATCAACTCTGTTCATGATGAAATATGTCTGAAAATCACGGAAAACAGTCACATAATGTTATAATAGTTAATGAATGGTGATGGTGAAGGAAGATGATCAGATAGAACTAACCAGTAGAGATCTCTGTGATGACCTGAAAATGGCTGACTCACCAGAAGATGAAGCAATTGCACTCCATATCCTTGCTGTCTCCCTTCTTATTGGCATTGACAAGTAGTCAACTGCAATTGCATTAACATCACAAATCATATTAACCAACACACCTTGACATAAAAACAAAATTTACCACACAACCATGTAATTGATTATTTTATAAAAAAAATAGAGTTATAGCAAAAAAAAAAAGAAATTCCCATACACAAATCATACCTGAAATTTCACTTAGAAATTTTCTTTTGAACTTGAAAAACTTTTTAAACATATAGCCACCTGACTTTTGATCTTCATATGAACTTTTCACCTACATAAAATTGTAATTAAACAAGACAACATAGAAATCAGCATTGAATTTGAACTGAACACTGATGATGATGAACTAACAGGTGAAGCCAGCATGATACCGATCCTGTTACCTTCAGAGCATAAGAGGTACAGTGGAGTTTTTATTTCAACGAATGTTATATCATCTTTAGTGAATAATTCTTGACATATTAGTCCATACTTTATAAGGGATTGGAAAAAATGTTGACGAGCCATGCGCGCTTCTTCGTCATCATCATTTTTGAAAGTTAAAATAAAATCTATCTGCTTTGTGTTGTCATCATTAATGTTCTGAAAAATTTAATAGTCAATTCATTAATTTACAATGTTGCATGCTTCAAGAAGTAAAAAAATTCTTGAGCCAATACGTTAATTATTTAACAATAGCTATTAAATAAAATAAAACAAATTGATTATATCTCAAAATATTTGAAACTTGAAAAACTAAATAAAATATCACCACACTTCACCACACAATTCATATTATAAATTATACAAAACATTATTAGATTATTTTATTAAAAAATCATTATTGAAATTATATTTAACTTTAATTTTATTTAAACTAAAGTAACCCTAACCTTCATATAATGACTAACAACAGCCAACCAATCTAGCTTTTCAGCCATGGGTGAAACTGAAAAATGAAATGGGCAATAAAAATAAATACAAATCATGAAAAGCTAACAAACATTTTTTAACTAACGTTCAGCTTTAAAGCTATTTAGGAAAAAAAAGTATTGTAAATTAAATTTTTTTTATGAAAAAGAAAATAATTTAAGTTTGAAATGATATTTACACTTTATTTTATACTTTTTTATAGCATAAATTTTGTGTAGGTTAGTGTCAAGAGTTAGAGGTTAGAGAGGGAAATCAATAAAAAACCAATTTTATTGAGTTCATTTCTCTTTGATCATGAATGGTTCTTCTTAATTAAATTTTTAATTTAAATCAAATTAATTTAACTAACGATTTATATTGAAAATAATAAATCTTTCAAAGTTTAATCTTAACCACTCAATGTTTATTTTTAATTAAATTTAAAAGTTTTTATTTAATTTTAATTTTAAAATCAACATTAAAAAAGTTTATTAAATTTAGCCAAAAAACATGATCTTATTTTTCAAACATCTTAGATACAAGAAGTTGAGGAAACGTAATTAACTTCTACGAGCGAATTGTGTAATGAAATAGTTTTATTTCATTTTATTTAATCATCCATTTGAATCAAAAAATAGCATAAACAAAACACCGAAATCCGCGTCAATTTCTATGGAAACACAGTCTGGCGCGTTTTCATTTTCTTTTCAGCACTATATGCAGTCCATTTGTTCATCTACTTTATTTATTTCATTCAATTGTTCATTTGAAATATCGTTCATTTGAATTATCTTTAGTTCATTTAGTAGGATATCTTGTTCCAGAGTTTACTTGAATTAAAATAGAGCAAAAACAAAGCCTTTTGAAACCAATTGATACACGTTTTTGTGTCATGATGACCTGGTTTGAAAGCATAAAATTCAGGTAGATTCAATGCGGTGTTTACGTGATGTGATGTTTTCTAGATAGTCTGTCTCTGTCTCTAGGCAATGTATCAGTGGAACATCGTCGCTCTATTGTTTGAAAAATGCTGTTAACATAAAAATGGCATAAAAAATAAATAAATTTGCTTGCTCAAATAAGTTTGATTACAAAATTTTATAATGTAAAAATGCTCAAAATTAAAATGTCAAACCGATTCTTAAACAAACATCGGAACGAAGATAGCACAAAAACAATTAAAAATGGAAGATGAAGAAAATGATCGTGATATACGAAGACATAAGTTACGAGGCTGATGAGGATGGCGATAGTGAAAATGCTTATCTTAACTTTTATAATTTATGAGATTAAATGCTATATCACACACTTAATATTAGAATGTGATAGAATGTGTTATGAAGCTATAGCTAAGTGGTGTGTTGTTTTGTGATGTTATATCTTGCGACGTGTTGTCGTTGTCCTATTGTAATGTCTTGTTATGTGATGACAGGAAATGTGATGAAGCCTAATAAGATTGATGGATGTGATGACATGAAATGTTGTGAAGCCTAAGTGAGATTGATATGTTTGAATGTGTTTAAGCGTATACTTCTTGTTTGCTGCATAGCTAACTTTCAAATCGTATAAATTATTGTAGTCTGTCTGATGTGATGTTAACGCAGTGATGTCATGTAATGTGAAGTTAAGCTGTGAGTTGTTTTGCGATGTTATGTGATGTCATTTAAATTTAGTGATTTTATAGGATGTGATATAAAAAAGTGTTTTATAAAGTAGTATTCTGCAATGTCATATTAAGTGCTGTTCAATTTTGATGTTGAATTATGTTGGTTGATATGTTTTGATGTGATGAAAGTTAGAGCTGATTGTATTTATTAATTCAATGAGGCTGTCACGATGAGAACATTGGCGTGACAAATCGGTTTGCATTAATTTGTGGTGCACGCATATCTTTTATATTTCACTAAATTTAACCACCAAAATTTTATTCGAGGTGTTTTCTATTTATTTGGAAAATCAGCAAAATTGACAAACTTCAAAGTTTAAAAATACGAAGAACGATTAAATAAATGTAGTTTCCAATTAGCATCTGGAAAATAACGCACATCCAATATTCAGTACAAAAGTTTTTATACATAAAAGCATTTTATCAAAGTAACCTACGCGCCGATATAGCATCAATTAAGTTAGTTGCATTATATTTTCTGCCGTAAATAGTTTTATCTTGCTGTTATCTGTTTTATTTTACAGAAGAATGATTGAAATTTTAAGTAATTTTGCTCAAAATGTTTAACATAGAAGCAGTTTTTGTTGCCTAAAATATTATTTTCAGAGGTTCAAAGTATTTTTAAACTACTTGAAGTCAAATTAATAATTATAAGTTTCAATATCTTTTTATTGTTTTATTGTTAATAGATTTTTATTTATTTATTTGCATTTTTATTTATCGTTTAAACACTCGTGTGTAGATAAGGATTTACTAGTGATGATTTAAACCCTGAAAGTTTAATTAATTGCTTAAAATCAACACAATCTCACAGTATAAATTTTAATTTGTTTATTTACAAACCACTTAAAGTATTTTAACCAGACTTTATCAGCTAATAAATTAATTTTCATTACTTTTTAATTTAATTTTCGGGTTGAACAATTTTTTATTTCCACGTATTTATAACCCGACGTATAATTTATAATTGCTTTGGTTTGTAAAGTTATGTTTGGGCATGTCGGCTATGTATGAGTTACAATGAGCAACAACCCAACCTAAATGTGTTATCAACTTTCAACGCACATCAGTTATTATTACGTGTCAGAGTATCAGATGGGAAGAAATTATTATGAATCACAGTTGTCAATTGGTTAGCAAATTTAAATAAGCTGGAACATTACGCCATAAGCAGGAGTAAAAGTGTATGACATCAGAGAGACCAATGCAAATAGCATCACTCATAATTTAGGCGACAAAATGTCAGGACAGAGCGCCACGATATCCGCACTATACAGTTACAACTCTCGTTAACTAATTCACTTCTCGTACGTGACAGAAATGTTAATGCATTATAAACAACACAAGCTCCATCGGAGAAGAGCTCTGTGTTACATTTGCATGTAAAACTAATTGATGGATTGTGTGAATGAATATGTATAAAAGTTTGTGTGTATCATTTGTGCGTGTGAGAATGTCGCACGTGTTGCGATTGATTATATATAAGGTGCATCGAAGACTTAGGAACAAATTTATTATTGGTCTGCTAAAAATACTCTGCGATCAGAGGTTCGTTACTTTTATCTATCACTTACGTTCAGCTGTTTGTATTTATTTAATAATTTTTTCATTGAAGTTTGTATTTTATATATTTTTAAACTCTTAAATTATTCATAAATGAAATTAAAATAAATGTTTATTCTTATTCATTTAAAAAAATATAGAAACTCCCAGTTAAAATTTACCGAACATGGCCAGAAACAGTCTGCAAGATCTAAAAAGTGTAAAATTTTATCAGGCATTAGCATGTGAATTTATTGGGACATTCCTACTCGTTCTGGTTGCTTGTGGCTCATGCGGCCGTTTTGTAGTTACCGAAACTGAAGTGAGGACAAATTCAACTAACATAGTTACCTCAAAATTGATTCCAAATGACTTGGTTCAAATATCTCTATGCTTTGGTCTGAGTGTGGCAACCATAGTTTGGTCGATAGCACACGTCAGTGGTGGTCATATCAATCCTGCAGTCAGCATCGCTTTTTTCGTCACAAGAAAAATTAGTTTTATACGATTCATTTTGTACGCAGCCGTTCAAACAGCTGGTGCAATTGTTGGTGCCTACATTTTGAAAGCTCTCACTCCAACTGGAGTTAATGATAGTCTTGGATCAACACTGCTTGGTAGTGGTGTCAGCAAGGCAGGCGGACTTTTCGTCGAGCTTTTCATCACTTTCGTTCTTGTTTTCACTGTGTTTGCAACGTGTGATTCCAACAGGCAAGGATTCGCAGGATCTGGCCCGCTGGCGATTGGACTGTCCATCGCAATGTGTCACCTCTGGGCGGTCAGTATTTTTATTCATTTGCATCACGCTTCATTGCGATTGATTAAATATTCATTGTTTTTTTTAAGAATAATTGTTTTCAGTTTATTACAGTTTTTTTTAATTACTAACATTTTGTTTATAACAATAAAATGACGATGGCTCCAAAACGAAATTTCATAAAATAACATTTAATTTAAGTTTTCAGATTACTAATTAACTTATTTTTTGTTAAATAATCAAAGTTTGGATCAATATTTTATGAAACGGAGCGAGGTTGTGCTTAAAATATTATTCTACTAACAATTAATTCTTGACAGCCATCACAATAGTGTATACTTAAAAAATGATTTTACTTTAAATACAGATCCCATACACCGGATCCGGAATGAACCCAGCTCGTGCGTTGGGATCGCACGTTGCTTCGGAAACCATCAAAGATCATCCTTACGTCTGGGTAGGTTGGATGGATGGAGTGTGTGGCTGCGATTGGCTTGATGAAATATTTTAGTACATACGAAACCGTTAAATGTTAAATAATAACACGTTAACGACTATACTTATAATTTACAAACGATAATTCTCAAACAAATTCTGGTTGTTGTTCCCAGTTCCGCCATAAAATTTGATTACAACACAAATTTATTTCATTCCTATAAAACTCTTACATATTTTCTGAATGTGATATTCAAGTATTTTAATACGATTGAAATAACATGAGCTACACTGTTATTTTGCCAGATTTATTGGATTGGACCGTTGATCGGAGGCATGATCGCCGGCCTCTTGTACGACCTGGCATTTGCAGCAAACGCAGGATCGTCAAAATTTGCCGGATTTTTTACGGCAGATTATGAGGACGAAAACTACGATTCAACTGGTCAAAAATCCCTCGAAGCCAACTTAACTGGAATAAGATTAAAAGATTCCGTGTAGATGAAGTTTGTGGTTTGTAGGGTATCCGTTGTTTCTTATTTTATTTAAATTTTTAACATTGCTATTTAACATTATTTTTTGCTAATTTAATTTAAAAAGTAATTTTTAATGTATCTAATCAAGTGAAAGATTGATTTATAATTTCAGTTTTTACAGTACAATTTCAACTAATACCACAAATATTGTTCAACTTTCTCAAATGTTTTTTTTGACAAGTTAAAATACTTCAAAACTATTCAAATGGTTTGAACAATATGATGCTTAACGTTCTGATGTTCAGTGGTTGTTTTTTTAAATGAAATGTCGCCAATGTTTTTTTCCTAATTTACATTTTCAAGCTTATTGCGTTCTTTTTTGATGTTTCGTTTCTTTAATAACTTTTTAAACAAAATACTTTCTTAGCTTGGCGGAAATAAAAATTTGTTTATCGATGGATTCGCGATAAAATATTTTTACGTCGAATTACCAAATACGTTTTATAAAATCAAAATAAAAAAATCATAGAAAAATTATAAAATTTTTAACTAGTTTTTTAAATTTTGAAAAATCAACCTATTTTACGCGAGATCTATAGAATTTTTATAAAATTTAATTTCTTTGTAAAAAAAAAACCTTACAAATTAATGGTTTACAAGTTTACAATCCGTTTGATTCAGTAACATTATCAGTATCATAAATTTAAGGAGGGAAACTTTATAAATGGTAAGAGATAATTATAACAAATTTTTAAATTCCGAAATATATCAAATATTTAAAATAACTACTTCAGATAATATTAAATAAAGTAAATAATATGAAACGCCTGAAAACAGTTCAGTCGTAAAGCACTTGAAAGACAATCGTACCAATTATTATCATTTACAACAGCATACTTGAAATTGAAATGTTTGAAATTGATGTCACAATCTTGAAGTAATAAAAAAAAATCGAATTTAAATTTTCCGAATATTTAAATGAAGGGGAGTTTCACTCCAACGGTGTGAAGATGAGTTAGGCATTAATTACATTAATAAAATTAATAATTATTATTTTTGTTTACGGAACGCCATCACTCATTAACGTTATTCACAGACATTTCAAAGCAAGTACAAATTAAATAATATAGGTAACAAAAAAGATGGAGATGCATCAAATTTTTAGGTTGAATTATAACAGAAAAATAATGAACATTTCAAATAACTATATCAAACACCACAAAAAAGAAAACTTTCAGTTTCAATAGAGTAGAAGCTGAGATGACGACGATGGAGAAATGAATGAAACCGTTGGTAGGTAATACAAATGTACTAAATTTTTACATATAGTTTGTGTAATGTTAATGTAACATATATTTAATAAATTTAACATTAATTCCTGTTTCTTCGATGTTTTAGATAGCCTCTGGTCCAAACTTATAGCAATCATGAACTGCTGACAAGTTATCAAAAAACAGGGACACACTAGATCTGCTGATGCTTATTGTCCGAGCAATTGATGTTGCCTCAGGTTTTCTGACTGCGAGGTGTTAAATGTCTTTATGAATCAAAAAATAATAATTAGCCTCAGGTATTTTGTCAAGCAAACATCAGTAGAGACACTTTTTTGGCTGACTGTAATCACCACTGAAATTAGACAATGCAAAATTCTGAGCATTGTAGTATTTCTTACAATATCTAAGCAATGTTGCACGGACAAATGCTCAGGCTCATCTACCTCTAGGGCTTCTCTCAGGGAAGGGACCAGTTTAGACAACTTGATCGGGGGGCCAAGAAACTAACCAAATTTGTGCTAGTGTGGCCAAAATTAGGCTAGCGAGGACCTTTTTGCTTTTCACGTCTATTTTTGGTAAATTTTCTACTTAAAATAATGTTTTCCTGTGTAAAAACTGATGTCTTTTGCAGTTATATTTAAAATACTGTTCAAAACTTTTTAATACTGTTTTTTGCTGACGATATCAGACAATTTTGATAGATCCTGCTCCAAAAACAAGTCCACTTTTAGATACTGAACATATATAAATACGGTTCAACATGCCCCTAACAAAATGGTTCAACAAGCCTCAGCCATAGTCATCGTAGAATTTCAACTGTACCCTCATTAACATGTTCCCAGGTGTAAAATGAAGTTGTTCTGTTTAACTGGATAAAAACACTACAAACTATTTTCTCTTTTGCAATTGTATTTTGAAGAACAATCACGTAAACGACTGAAAATTACTCGAAAACGGCGAAATCTCGTAAGCGACATTTACTTGACGATTTGCAGATATAAACATGGCAGATTAACTCAGCTGGTTCTATATGCATTAATAAATTTGAATTATAAAACGCGTACCGGTATTTTTTTATAACTGAGCAAATTTACCCAACTGGTTCAACCTACTCGTAGTTCATAAAGCTCCGATCTCCCCTACATAAAAAATACAAAATTCTTCGTCTTTTGTGGCTGACCACATCGCAACTGACCAGACATTCATAATATGTGACTGACAACATTATATTGACCACGCAATTCTTCATAGATTAGGGCTGACAGCCTCGCAACTGACCATAAAATATATCGACAAAAACAAAGGCAGAAAAATATTCAAATGCTTATGCGCATGCATGTCTATTGCTTATGAATTATGTGATGCGACCAAAACAGATTTTTAGCAGATGCATCGTAAACCTATGCCCGTTTGTTGCCTAATTTTTTAGCAATCAGTGTATGGAAAATATTTCATTCAAATCGTACATGCGTGCGCTCATATTTGCTATCAAACATGTTGCCATCTACCGAAATTTAGTAAAATATTTCGCTTTTGGCATTCTGATTGGTGGAAATAAAAAGATAAAGAATTGAATGTACATAACAGATTTAAAACGTAGGAATCGAATTATGCTACATTCCCCTGGAGGCGTTTGAGTCATCGTATTTTAGCCGTTGAGGATATCATTATGTAGGAGTTCTCTTCCCTGTACCTTTTATAATGGGTGAACACGTCATTGTCTCTCACTCCCAAGTGTGGCTTACAACGGGAAGGTCAGTACAAAATCAGATGATTAGATTCGGTGGAGTATGAGCTGTTAATAAATAAGTTGAATTAATAATTATGAAAAAAGGCAACTGATTTTTTAAAAAACAAAAATTATTGATAATACAATTTTTTATTTATTTTGTTTATGAATTTATTATCAACCTCTCTCAATATGGTATTATTTTCAGATTCTCATTTGAATTACTGTAGAAAATATTTTTGTTATGGATGTTCCAATTTTTATTATGCAAATTTGCATGTGTTGCTGTGCAATGCAATTCAGTTCATTCAGTCAAAATTTTCAGATGATATTACAAGTACCAATAAATAAAATCAAAATAAAACTTGGAAAAAAGAAAATTTTTAAAAATTTTTGTTTAACATTAAAATTCAGTTGATTCCTGCACGGCACTTGACGGCCTCATTTGTGGGATGGATGCATGCCTGGGAACTGATCGAATACATACGTTGGCATTTTTTGTCGTGCGGACATCAAGCTAGACTTTTCTTGTGAAAGATAGTAAATTTATTTAAAAGCAGTCTGTGGAAACTATTTGTGAATTCAGCATTGCGTTTTTATATACGAGAGAGAAAAAGAAAAAAAAGAAAATTTACCGTTATGGAATATAAATTAAAAAATAAACTGTTGTTAAAAAAAATGAACATTAAATATGATTTTGAAACATAAAAGAAGGTTTTATGGGTGAAACATTATTATAGGAAAAGACGAGAAGTAGCAATAATGGATGCACGACTTTCTGAAAGCGATTATTAAAGTTTATTAAGAGGTTTTATTAATTGAGATATATATATATATATATATATATATATATATATGCATTCAAAATATATGGCATATAAACATATTCTAAGTATACACATATAGTTACATGTAGGATCTACATCCCACCCTCCTTATTCATCACCATTCATATCTATTCTTGAATATAAAAAAATAATACAACCGAAGTTGTATGTCTAGTTGTGTATGCAGTTTCCTATGGTTATTATATATGTGTATATGGTATAATGTATATTAATAGCATAGAAGAAAAGTGAAGTATAGAATGTAAGTATTGTGTACATGTACATGTAATGTGGTTGGCATATGGGAGGACCACCACACATACATAAGTGTTCTTGTTGATTTTTAAAGGATCCTATCTTTTGTAGAGTTTTTCTCTGGCCGGCTTGTCCTGTTTTGTCGCGGCTGTTGGTTTTTCTTAGGAAGTCTTGTTCGATTTTTAAGTACTTGTATGATCAAAAATTTCAAAAATATTATTAATTTTTAAAGTTTGCTTTACAATTATTTTGATTAATAATTAAAAATTATAAGATTATGGGGCAAGTCTCTAGCCGGAAAGACTTTGACTGGGTAGAAATTGAGGAACCTCACAAGACGAGGCGCAAACTAATTTTAGGTAAGGGAGTACTTAGTTTTTAAACTGCGTTTTAACTTTTTGTTACAACTGATATAAAATTTGAAAATTTCAGTTTTAAAATTGGTTGAAACTTACAGCCTCTTATATTTACAATTATAATTATTTATTACAATATATTAATAATAATTAAATAATGCATAACATAAAACTCACTGCTGCTACAGACAAATAAGTAGAGAGAGTGTAATTTTAAATACTCATAGAAAACTGTATAAAATAAAGAAACAAACTAAACTTTAGTTCGTTAGTGTTTAGAAACTAAGGATTTAGTTAGTTCAATTATAAAAAATTTATATTATGTTATAATAATTTTTTAAATTTTGTTTATTAACTAGCTGCTAATTAACTTGAATTTAATTGTTAGAGATGTTTTGAATTAAGTGTATTGGTTTTTTTAGTTACAAAAAGTTAGAAGTTCCTGAGAATTCAGGAGAGAACAATTATTTATTACATTATTACAGATTACAAATTTTATTAATAATTCTTTGGGACCAGGGTTAACATCGCCAATGACACCACATAACATGCTCTCTATACTATACTATACTATGTGATCTAGTATAAAAAAAACTCAAAAAACAAGTAAATAATCAACTAGGGAAGCTTAATTAGTAAATTCAATAACAGCAGGAAAACAACTCTGCATAATCAAGCTAGAGGGCAGATCAGAAGGACTATTATATATATATATATATATACACATATATATACATATATATATACATATATTAAAAAAATGTAAGCATGTCATTGCAATTGTGTGTTTTGTATGTATATTTAATTGTGTATATCCTGTTGAAATCATGTTAGGCCTATCTATTCTATTCAGCAGGGCAGCTCTTTATATTTATGTTTTGGAAACTTCTGTTGAATCTCAGTTTAAACCCCAGTGATAGTTTAGGCTTATAATTGTTGATGTTTTTTGGTAATTATGAGTTGAGTTAGAAGCCCTTTGTTGTGCAAAAGTGATGAAAGATGAGGTTATTGAACAGTTTGTTTATAGGTTCCCATAAAGTATGGGTGGGCAGACTATGGCCTGTGAGTTTTCAATGCGGTTCCGTCTCTCACAGCAAAAAGTTTGCCCGCCCCTGCCATAAAGGATTGTTATAACAGGTGCATGTTTATCATTTAAATATTGTGGTTTTGAAGTAAGTTTTTATTTAATCATGTCTCATTGCTGTGACACAATAATGTTTTAATAAAACATTGGTAATTGAAATTTTTTATATAACATAAGGGTAGAAATTACAAAAATGTTATCCCCATTGAAGCTTAATTTTAAATTTTTGAAAAATAAAATTATTTCTAACCATATGAAAAATGTATACTGGAGTTTTCTTGAGATTAATTTGTTAATATATTTGATCATTTATTTGATTATAAATATGAAATTTTTGATATACCATTGCTATAGTGTTTGATATAAAATCACCAATTTCTTTTTATAATTAACAGAAGCCCACCCAGAGATAAAAGAATTGATGGGACATGATCCATCTCTGAAGTACAAAGTTACCATTATGGTCCTTGTGCAGTTGATTTCAGCCTATTATCTGAGGGATTCACATTGGTCTCTCATCCTTGTTACAGCTTATTGCTGGGGAGGTGTCATCAACCACAGCATGGCACTGGCTATTCACGAAATATCGCACAACATGGCATTTGGTCATTTCTATCCATTTGCTAATCGTTTATTTGGTATTTTTGGCAATTCAGTGATGGGTATACCTTATTCCACCATGTTCAAGAAGTACCATTTAGAACATCACAGATACCAAGGGGATGAATACCTCGATGTTGACATACCTACAAAATTTGAAGCAATATTTTTCAACAGGACATTAACAAAGCTGATCTGGGTCATTTTACAACCATATTTTTATGCCATCAGACCACTTTTCATTCGTCCAAAACCGATCACCTCTTTGGAGATTATCAATTTCACATTTCAATTTGCATTCGATGTCATCATTTACCATTTTTTTGGTTTCAAATCTATGATGTATCTGATCGTTGGGACCCTGCTTGCTATGGGAATGCACCCACTAGCTGGCCATTTCATTTCTGAGCATTATGTTTTTAAGGACGGATTTGAAACTTACTCTTACTATGGTCCACTTAATTTATTGACATTCAACGTTGGCTATCACAATGAACACCATGATTTTCCTAACATTCCTGGATGCAAGTTACCACTTGTTAGTATATCTCTTATGTTTGTTTTGTTTTTTTCCTTATTTTTGTATTTAAAGATATACAATTGAAGTTAATAATCCATCCATGTAATTCACAGTGCACCGTACACTTTCAAGCTAATATTGTTGAATAAAGCTAAAATATTTTTCATGCATATGAAAAATATTTTATATGTCCTGGGTATGACATAAAACTGCATCAACGCTGCCTTGCATGCTTTTGAGTGAAAGGCTAGGCCCACCGCTTATAACTGGTGGTTGTAGTCAGGATGGGTGTCCGAATGTAAAAACTTTTCCCCAAATTATTCCTATGCCATCACAAAGACAACTGATCGTCTAATTTGGCGCAAAAAGTTGATGGCAAAGAAAACAACGTCCTACCTTGGGAAACCGGGTCTCTGGACGCAAAACGAAGATTGATTGATTGATGAAGAACACTGATAATTAAAGCAGAACATTAATAATTCTTGTTCAATGAAAAAAGCAATATGATAACACGGTAGTTTATTGAGATTTTGGGGTTGCTAACACATTTTTAACTAAAAAAATTTTGTATTTACCTTGAATCAATAACGTTTCTTTAAAATTTTTAACAATATATCACAAAAAAATTTATTTTAAAAGGGTCATTCACTTATGTGTGAATAAATAAAATTTTGTATTCACTTTGTTTTCTGAATTTGTTAACAATATGTTACACAAATTGATTTATTTTTAAAAGGTCATTAACCTATGTGCGAATGAATAAAAAATGGTGTACATGTGTTTATAATGATATTTAACTCTCAAAATTTGTACCTCTGTTTTATATCATAATAAACGTGTTTTTGTCATGTCATGAACGTTTTTGATCGTTCTGTGTTTCAATCTGGAGTCAAAGTTAATTTGCATTGTGTGTTTTCCATTCCATATTTGTTCACAAAGATTTATTTAGGATTAAGCTTAATCTGTAGATACAAAATACGCTCATGCAAAGGTTTAACTAATTTGTTATGTTAATTGGCTTCTTTTTATGATGATTCTTCAAAATATGTAAGTGCTTGTTGAATTTTATGCACACAGGTAAAAAAAATAGCTCCAGAATTTTATGACAACCTGCCCTGTCACAATTCGTGGGTGAAGGTCATCTACGAATTCATAACCAATCCAAACATTGGACCGTATGCCAGGATTAAGAGGAGGAACAACAACAATGTCCTTGGCAATGATAAAGATGAATGAGTCATTTTATTACTCGCTACAACAGCCAGCCTTGTTTGTTGACAATTATTGAGATGTGTTGTTTCAGCTGGTTTCCTTTTTTAAATATTTATTTCCTCTCAATATTTTTTAAAATCAGTATTGGTGTTTTTTCATTTTATTTTTAAGTTTGGTTTTTGATCTAGTTTCCACTCTATTCTAAATTTATACTTTTTAATACATCATTTATTTATTTATTGCAGAATAAGATGTCCATTTTTATGTAATTTTTTATTACGAGTGAAATTATTTTGCATTAAGAATAGAATGTTTGTCTTAGTGTGAACGTTTTTTTATTACTATGGGTCTCGTTGACATCTTTATCTTCTGATCACAACTACTTCGCTCCATATCTACTCAATTTATTGTTTTATTGTTCAATTTGGATTACAAATTGTTAAATATTATATTATTAAGAAAGGTATTTCTCACTTGATCTGAAGTTTGCATGATTTATTTTCTAGAGATGCTTTTGTTTAGTTTACCAGTATTATATATAACCTTCATTTGTAACTGGTTCTTATTAATTTCACTATGTTATTTTTTATTGGATATTTTCGTGCATTTGTGAAGAGTATGAATGCTTGCCAAATCTTGTTAAAAGTTAGTTCCAACATTTTAAATGAAACAGATTATCATTAATTATTCTGTGTCCTTGTTTCATTTCTAGTTGAAGACTGATAAACAATATTTGTTATTTATTGTTGATAAATTATATTGATTCAATCACTTAAGAGGTTTCTGTTCAATCATAATTAAATTATGATTAGCAATGTATGCGATTGATCTGATTAGTATTCTTATAGTATTGCTGTCGGTACTATGTTTAATTATATTTAATTTAATATGGTATTATTAAAGCTCTTATACTATTCATTACATGTTATTATTGTACGTCAGTATTACTTCAATTCATATGATTACTAAAAGAAAAGTATTATTTGCTATTGTTGTCCTATTAATCATAATATTAATTGATAGTTTTTGTTTCATTTAATATATTAATAAATGATAATTATCCACTTTGGAATACAGTTTATTAAATTTGATACCTGAGACAAAAGTTGTATATAATCGGAAGTGAAATTGAATACAAAAAAGTTTATAATAAGCGTTTCAAATAAATAAGAAAAAAAAACTTGGTGTTTATCGTCAAAGTAAATTTGACGCAGAAACGATAATTGAAATTCAATTTGAACAACAAAACCACCTTATATGGTTAAAAAAAGTAGACTTAATGTAAATAATTTGTGATTTTTCTAAACCGAAGATAAAAAACAACGCTTATATCACATTCAAGAGAAAATTAAAACAACAAAACTGGAATGTAAAACAAACTGTCATTAAAAACAAGTTGGTCACGATGAACCTAATTAAATTTGGAGAGGAAATCTTCAATCACTTGGTCTTGATAGGTCGAGAAAGACATTGAGGATCATGATGATAGAATGCTATATGGTCAATTTAGAAAGTAAAGAGATATTCTAAAATTATAACATGCGAACCGAGAATTCCACGTTAGTGATTGAAGATCTAGTTGAACGCCTCTATAATTTAGTTGGCAACATGCATCTTTGGCTAGCCTAGTATAAACAAAAATATCGAACCCTTGAAAATTTTTAAAATTACTATTATAATTATCCAATACATTGTTTTACATAAAGATGAAAAGATGCAATTTTTGCCGTAAAATGTAGGAACGGAAATATGAAATCTGGTCCTAATCAATAGGAAAAGTTTAAAGTTATTTGCTTCCGAAGTATGTCTGGCACATAAAAATGAATTACGTAGAATTGTGTCTTGATAGCTTTCAATGCTGACAACAACATTTAAAATGTTTCAATTATCAAAGTGACTATGTAAATGGTTTACTAACCACAAATTTAACACATTAAAAAAAAGCGCGCAAATGATGTGCTTGTCGCAATAATTTTGAATAATTTCTTACGATGTACAATTTAGCGAAAACATTCAATTGCCTGATGAAAAATGAAACTGATACTTTAAAAGGATTTGCATACTTGAATAAAATAAATTAAAAGCATTATTAAACACTTCAGTCAATCATAGCAGCACGTAGAGATGTATAAAACCAAAAAGAAAACGGAATGAATGAATACACGTGGTGTACGATCGTAATAATAGACATTGTGCGTGGTTAAACATGATAACGAAAACATACATGATAGACAGAATAGATGTTCGGTATTATATATAAATATGAGTAATGATATTTAGGGCCCAACATAGAACGATGCACCCACCATTTGCGAGACATTGTCAATATGGTAAACAATGAAACTGCGCTAAAATGAACGGCTTAATTTAAAAAATTGTCTTAATGTCTTAAAGTTTTGTTAAGAAAATTAAAATTCTCATGTCAGCAAAAACTAATTTATTATATCATAGTTGACTTATTCACCTTTTATTTCTGTGGATTAATTAATCGCACATATTCATTCAGCATCTATTTGAATTATTTCGTGCTGACCTAATGAATGTTGCTGCTCGATGATAGCCTTCAGTTTTTGTATTCCTCATCTGTATCCTGAGATGATGCTACGCTCTGCTTGCTACCTGGATGGCAATCAGTTATTTGAAGATTTCATTAGCGTGCTTCTTGAATTGATGATGTTTGAGTTTCCAAACTAATAACCAAAAGTTCTAAAATTATCACATTTTATAAAATCATCTAACCACATTATTTACATTAAAAACAGCGAATATAAAAACGAATTTTCTAAATTACCTGACAGAGAACTGAAAGTAGAAGATTCTTTCAACCTATAATTATACCATAGTATATGTTAACCTAACATTTATTAACGACAAAATACAATTTATTTTTAAAAATTTCCTGATGATCAACTAGTTAAAAACTGAACATAAAAGTAATTTAATTAAAGAAAATGTGTGTAACTGATATTAGAACGTAAGAGTAAAAAATATTCAATAAGACATGACATCATCGGGCCGGCAATATTTTTATATAACATCATAAGAGTAATCTTGCACCAACTTCGTCACCACGTCATATTTTTTGTCACTGAATGTTATGACGGGCAGAGTGATCTTGTGCTTCTTCATCATCTTCGGACGTTGCAGGTTGAGGTGTTCCAATGATGATGACGTCACTGGCAGGTCTGGCAGATCTGAAAACAGTCACGTGTCATACGTAAAATAAATAAACAAAAAATTACAAAATTTAATTGGCAAGCAGCGCAAAACACGCACCAGCCCAGAGACCATCTTGAACAACAACTCGTGCCTTAAGATGTAAATAAATGAGAAAAATGTTTAAAATAATGCAATTTAAGAAGCAGTGGCTGAAAAAATAGGCACATGTCAATAAAATAACTAACTGACAATAAGTAATTAATGATTAATTAATTAATAATTAAAACAATAATTAATTAATTAGTACGAAATGAAATGCTGGCTTGAACTGTCGACGTCAGTGGGTGAATGCACAGCAGATGTGTAATTATTTCATATACAACTCTCTCTTAATTATTTTTAGAGGAACCAAAATAATACACAACGCGTGAATTATACGCGTCCCAAAACTGCACAGAAGATTGACGAGGAGATCATCTTTTTCCAGTCGAACCTAGTCAGCCGCAGCGAGACCAAAATAGACGCCTCCTCAATAACACCATCCCCGACAATCATGAACAACTTTCTTGACTAGTATAACGTTTTGATGAATATTCAGAAAAGTTACCCGCCCAGCAGTGAAAATTTCATGCGAGCACTGACGAAATAAACAAATATTCCCCGCTGGAGCAAGCAAAAGAATAAAATGAACGAATAATAATAATAATACTAATAATAATAACAACCAGTAAGTATGGAAGTGGGTCGAGCCTTCTTGAGAGTTTTCATGGAGAAGTCGGGAAAGAGTGAATCAGTCATGTTGTTGAGACTGACCTGCTGTCGAGAGACGAGTTAATGAGATTATTTATTATATAATAAATTAATTAGTTATAAAGTCATATAATAAAGAAATACGTTATAAAGAAATAAATTAATTGGAGAGTCAAAAACGTCGAGGAAAAATAGTGAGCTATAAGACATTTGAATCTAGAGAATTCATTTTTCTAGACATGAAAACAAACAGTTGGATGGCGAGTTAGCCCAAACAGTTTAAGTGCCATATTTCGAGTTATTATTATAGCGCGATGACCTGGTTCGATTACAGTCTCTATGGCAAAAAGTTTAATTGTAACCAAGATAGTAAGGCATGAAATGTGAGCAGCTCTGCGCTTTGCTTATTATAAAAAATTAAATAAATACATCTTTTTTCTTTCCCAATAATGTAGAGAATCGCAGATTGTTGTTCATGGATGACTCCATGGGACTTGAGGACAGATGACATTCTTGCTCCTTCAAGAGCTGCTTGGCAGGTGTTGGTTGTTCGTTTTATTCATGTATTAATATTTTGTATACAAAGTAATTTATATATAACATAATATGTAGTTCAATTAAGAAGATCGTGTAAGCAATTGTGAAGAAATATTGTGGAAATCCGATAGAGTCAATGGTCGAACCATCAAATCCATGAGTTCTTCCACGTTGTTTGCCATGTCGAAGGCCACATTTTTGAACATGCTGAGTAGTGCAAACGGAGATGTGTGGTTAATGTCATCCACGCTCCGTTTCATGATGCCTGATAACGTTGAATTCGTTAACAAGAACTTTGGATCTAAAGTATCTTGTCTGGTCTTTAATTTTGTTAGCTGGCAACAGTAATAAAATGCTCAAATTAACTAAATCAATAATGTGCATAAAAAATAATAAATCAATACTACAACAAAACGCAACTTTTTTTACCTCTGAATGTTTTGGAAATACTTTGTCAAAATATTCATTTAAGTCTTCTGTGAACTCCTTGGAAAAATCATTTTAAAAATATTAAAAGTACAAGTGGAATAAATAAAAAAAAGCAAAATCACGCATACAAATTTGCAAAACTTTGAAAAGGTTGAAAAGTACCTCTGTATCCAAAGGAGATCTGATCTTAATTTTTTCGATCAGCATTTCATTGTCATCGTGATGTGGCTTGTTGTGATTGGTGGTGGCTTTTTGTTCAGCAGCTGATTGGACCATGTCGTATATATCTTTGTATATCTGTGTTATTTGTAAGACAAATTAACTAAGAAGATTCACAATGAAGAAGTTGGATCTACAATTAAACCATTCAGTTCATGCGGAAGACACTCACGGAGATAAGTAAGCGGTACGGGACGTACGATAGAAATGGATAGCTAGCCTGATAACATACTTCGATAAAAAGCCTTGATTCCTGAATGAGTTTATGGGCAGTGCTTATTGTTTCGTTCAGTTGGTTCTTCAGCTGTTGCGTACCTTCCAGCCTGTCTACATACATCTCCATGCTCACCACCATCTTATCCAGGGTCTGATTTGTTTGTTCACGATATCATTGCGCAAATAAAAATTTGTTGGAAAAATGAAAACGACAATAATACGGTCAAAAAGACATTAAAAAGATGAATAATTATTGAAAAATTATTATAAGTGCAGACATTGAAATACTCAGTGCGATATTTCCACCAAACTCCATTCAGAAACATCACTTCTACTTATATATAGATACAAACGATATAATCATTAAACTTCTCCAACATCGTAGTTCAGTAGCTGTTTAGAAAACTGATCGTTTGCCAGGAGTTGAGTTGGTGAGTTGTTCCTTTGCAATAAACTGGTTATCTGTAGAGAATGAAAAGTAAAAGCTAAAAATATCAATCAAATGAAATTTATTTAAAATTTCAACCTTTTTGACAACAGCATCCAGCTTATCAACTCTTTCAAGATTGTTCTTGCTGATTGCAAGGATGTCGTGCAGAGGCAAGGGCAGGTTTCTCAGCGTCTTGTTCCTACCAGTGGTTACGTTCATGATCATATTCACAATATTATGTGCTTGCTATTAATTTCAAGTGTTTAAACGAAACTCATCGTTCAAAAAGAAAACATGAGCAAGTAGAATCTTGAATTTAGTAAAACCAAAAAGTAACTGGTGACTAGAATAGACAAACAAAACATCATGAGACGCGACTTCAACCTGGTCAGTCCGTGAGCGATATCTTGGAGTGCAGAAATGTTGAGATCATTTTTGTCAAGCATGAGAGTCTGCAGGCAGTTGTTGACTTGGAGGGTCTTCGACAACAAACGACCCCCTGTTGGACCGATGCTGTTGCCACTGTAGAATTCGACAATTTTTTATTCATATTCATATTAATGAAAATTATACTGCTATAGTATTGTATAGTACATAGAAACAAATCTAACATTTCTATGCAATGCTGCGAGAATTTTGAGTTATTGATTAAATTTCTGGGAAACTGAGATCAAAAGAATAAATAATAAAAAAGCATCTGCAATGAGTGGCCCTACCAACCCGATGTTGAGTTCGAGCAGGGTAACATCAGATCCCAAATGATTGATGAAAGTGTAGGCGTCACTCCTCAGCGACATGTCTTCCATGTACAGGCACTCAATTGTCTTTATGTCCGTGTTTTCATGACGCATTTCAATGTGTCAGCAATTTGTGCATTTCATTTTGAAAAAACAAAAAATTAAATAAAAAAAATTAAAAATTTAAATGCTCATGCTCTGTGCGAGCCATGATTTATTTATAATAAAATACTCGTCATGCTGATAAGCATTGTTGACGTAATCAATTGTAAAAACGAGTACACTGGAGCCATTTTGAATACAAACATAAATTACGAAATAAAACAGACTCACGGCTTGATCATCTTGCAAGTAATCCACCAGAGCATTCACGAACGGCTCCAAACTTCTGTGTTTAGAGAGTAATGCAAATCATTTTTTTTAGTATTGTTATTTGTGACAAGCATGTAGTACATAATTATTTCAATATATTCATGATACCCAATAAAATATAAAATATGACAAAACATACAAAAAACTATTAGGTGCAAACGCAAAGTAATGAATAAACCAGCCTTGTTTTGTTGTTCAACAAGTTCTTGCCAACAAAAAGTTTCTTCAGGTTACTTGTTTGAGGCAACTTTTTGAAAATCAACTTCAGGTCGTCAACAGAAAAATCTGAAATTTCACCAAGTAAACGAATATTAAATGTTAAACTGGTGCTAATAAAACAAATAGTATTTTGAAAAAATAGCAAAAAATGAAAAATAAATTGATCAGGTAATGGCCACTTATTATCATGTAGAAATCGACAGCTTCTGGCAAGTACAAAACGCACACGTACGACGTGTGGAACAATATTATTAAGTCTTGTGATGTGTGACTATGTTGTGGATGGCGGGATATGCGGCTGCAACTAATAACAAATTTGAAAATTTTGTATGATAAAATAAAAAATTTATGGCTAAATAATATAGTTAAAAATAGTTGACAAAAGGAGAAAAAAGAAATCGAACTGTTGTTGCTGATGTCCAGAGAGTTGATGTTTGACAACATTGGTAGTGAAACTTCAAATACATCTGCAAATCTCTGATCCAGTGAATTCCCTGGCGTTTTCATAGTTTTCATGAATTGACGTTAATTTTAACAAAAATAAAATGATGTATAAAAGCAAACACACCGGCTAGTTTCAACTCAACATTGCGCATGTTTCTGTTAACAGCTATTCCCAGCAGGACCTGCCTGCAAGTAAGTTGCAAACATGGAAGAAATTAAATAAAATTATTAAATAAATAAAAACACAAAATAAACGAAGACGATTAATTAAATCAAGCAAGACAGTTTTCTAAGAGCGATTTATACAGAATGAAACAACGGAGAGAACTCGTCACAGAAAGATAAGAACATTCCTAACTTCAAATAGTCAGGAGTGAGATGGCAGTGACTAAGATTAACGAAGCGTAGCGACTGAGCAGTTGATAAAAAAGTTTTGCAACTGTTAAAGTGGAGTTCGTTCATCTTCTTTCTACTCAGCTGGGTTCCACAGAGGTTCAAAGTTTTCAGATGATCGACACAACCTCCTTTCAAACTGACCACCAACTGTTCGCATAGTAGGTAACAATGATCTTATAAATTATTTCAAAAACTCCAAATCTAAAAAATTATGCAAAAGATGCTAACATTTTCAAGGGGTACATCCGTGTATTCCAGAACCAGTGTTTCAACTTCATTGGGTTTCGACAAAAATAATAACAAAACCTATTGAAATGATGAAATATTTTAAATGAATGAATTTTAAAATTAGAAAATTTCAGGGAAATAACAAAACTGGGTGCACAAGATTCATACAAGATGATGAACTTTGAAATTAAAAAACCTTCCATGCTTAATGATCAGTCTCACTGTTATCATCAATAATATACACGACACCGTACTCAACAATGTTAACATTGCATAAACATAACTAGCAGATTTTTAAAATTGTGAATGCGGTTTAAAACCATCAAATTATTTTCTATGATAGGCTTACATCACCATAATCATCATCATCACCCACCCTCAGCGATTCAACAGTTACACACCCAGTCCACAAATATGCATCGCAAAACCACAGTACCACAATCAGAGGTCGGTGTGATGATTTTTTTTTAACTTGCACCATACAAACTCAGGTACTATCACAAAGTAATTAACCACAGTAACCTGAGAGCCTGAACTTTTAAAGACGATCTTGGACATGTCCAGATGAGTTAATCTCTGAAACTTATTTGTTGGACCGAAGATTGTGTTGATGACACCAGTGGGAATGCATGTTTCTGCAAGGTTCAGACACTGCCACTGTATGTTCAACGAACACAATAACTGCACACCTAACAGGAGAACGAAATCACGTTAGCAATAATAATGTCATGAACGTGTGGCAATGAGGAAATAGAATGGATCAATCAATAAGAACGTTGTAACATGTGAAGTGATGAACAAGAACCCATAGTAAAACCAACACTAGTATTATACAACGTAAAATAGGGAAAAATAAAATAGGAAAAAACATAGATATGTCCGACCAATAAACATTAACCAAATCATTGAAAGTTATTTCAATTCAACAACTAAATAACAATTATAGATAAGTATGATATTTGAATAGTTAGCAGAAAATTCTGATTCTCCAAACTGATTGTTCAACGTGTGTAACAAAAAAAACTGATAACTTTAGAACACTAATCTAGAATACGTGATTCGTGGAATGCTTCCAGTGCATGGCTCGTGTAAATGTCTCAAATCACCGAACGTATATATATATATTTGTATTTATATTTATATATATATGATTGTCCAACAAATACAAAATAATCCCCTCAATTGAGTGATGTGTATGGTACATGTTAACATTCTTCGTTTATTTTTCATAGAAGTAACCAAGAAACATCAACGAATCCAACTTTTGTCATCCAGGCTGTTCTTGGAGATGTTGATGGAATTTAGGAGGGTGAACTTGTTGGCATGTAAGGCGTCGCATATCTTCTCAACGTGTGATCTGCCAGTTAACATCGTTCAGATAACTAAATAACATTTAACATTTTCAACCACTTGTGAATGCAGTTGACGTGTTACGAAAGATTGATGAAATGTTCAATAGAAAGAAGGCCTGTGAGAGGCATTTGAAATTAATGAAACACGAAGAATGAATAAATATTAAATAAATGAATGATTGCATGAATGCATGAACATTCAATCAAATTTCAATTTCAGTAGTACTTTACTACGCAGTTATTGTTTTTAAACACATTTGAAAAATCGAACATCACCAGAGTTGAAAAAACAGAACAATTAAGAGTGAACTAAATACACGGGCAATCTACTAGTTAGCAATAACACGTAGCTTCCTTCAATAATAAATTGTAATTAAAAATAAATGCGAATTTACAGCTTCAGAGAAGTATTGGAAAGGTTTAAGTTGTTGAGAGTGACGTTGTTCTTCAGTACTTTGCATAGTTCTATCAGGTTGGCCTGCGTCTGTACAACGAATTTTGTTTAATAGCAACAACACGTTACGATGCTGTATGCAACACTTAACAGGTAGAACATGAAAGCAGAAATGAAGGACTCACAAGTTTGATGTTGGATAAGTTAATACCGGTGAACCACGTGTTGTTCCTGAGGGCAGCAATCATCGGTAAGTGGTATCTGAGGTGTGAATAAAACGCTGAACCAATTCCCACAAATATCTCTTACAATTCAACTTCAGCAGTTAGTTAATATTAAATATATAAAATGTAAATATAATATTTACGTGAACAACGGCAAAATGAAATGGTTATAACAAAATGAAAACCTGGTTTCTAGATTTTCAAAATCTCGAAAATCAAATTCCTTAGAAGCATTCAAGCAGTAAATCGTCTCAATGTCCTATTAATAACAATCAAAAAATTATTTCAACTGATAAACTAATTATGAATAAAAGTAACTTGAAAAAAATCTTAGTTCTACCAACAATTCAATTTTTTTAAAAGTCAGCAAGAAGCAAATGTGAAAGAAGGATTGCAGACCCATATAACTTCTTCCAGGCATGGAACCTCATAGTAATCACACATGCATCTGTACAACAGAGAGTAGTTCTCAAACTGCGCAACATCATCCATCTTAAGGAAGCCGCCATCGTTAGCGGCGACGTCGTTGCTGTTGTCATAGTTGGAATTGTTCGACGCTTTGCTTGCAAATCTCTCTCTCAACTGTTCGACAACGTCAGTGGAACAATTCGTAAATAAGGTCCTGTCGATAAGAAGTGCATGCACGTGCGTGCATACATGCATGCTTGGTTGTGTTTGTGTGTGTATGTGGTACGTGTGTGTGGTGCGTGTGTGATGTGTACTGAAACAATTTCTGATAAAGATAGAAAATATATTAACTCGTAGTTGAAATTTTTAAACAGCGTGACCCAGCATCTGATTATCTCAGTGACTGGTTCTATGAAACTGGCTTCTGTATGGAGGGTCAGAGACTTGCAGGCCGATGAGATTGTCAGCTTTGCAGGAATTTAAAAAAAATGGAAACATAATTAAAAAGTGATAACAAAAGCGAAAATGTACGTAATTACTTTCTGATCGTCAGGCAGTTCTAACGAGAGGAGGTCAATCAGATAAAAAATCTTCTCAATCTGAATAAAAATTACGCAAATAAATTTGGTAAAAGTTGTTCGGATTGGAGCAAGACAGGACGTTGCGTGATAAAGAGAACAACTAATGAACGAAGTTGAGTCGTGTTAGGAATATTTTCAACATAAATATT